CCTATGGCATGGCACTGACCTAGGCCATGGGCCGTGCCGAGCCAACCCCCAAAATTTTTATTGAGGAGGGCGGCACAGCCCACTTTACACCTCTATTTTTACTACCTTGGGCATCTCAATATACACTGACTTAAGTGTCGGGTCCATAGCCTAGGATCAAGGTTTGAAGCATTGGAAACGTCAAGTGTATCAGAAAATCAATTTTAAGAAACGTATTGAGATACACCTTGGATACGCATGCGTATCGGAGAAAAACTAAGATACGCTTGAAACACTATAAATACTTTAATAAATCATAAAAATATATCAATAGCACTAAATATAAGACCTCAATGAGGTGTATATACATTAAATTAATATATTTTAATGGTTTTATGAAGAAATATATTATAGTTAATTATAATTTCATTAAACATATGCTTAACTATAATTTATAAATTATAATTCTTAAGTTTTAATGTTTTACGGGATGGGAAAAACCCAACTCTCCTATCCAACCATAAAACATGCATTGGCACAACTTCTAAGTGAAAATATAATAATAATTATTTATTATTTATTTCCAAAAATTATAAAAAATAAATAAACATGATATAATATATTCAAAAAATAGTTATTAAAGAATAAATTTCAATTGCTTTGTGGATATGATAGACCATCCATAGAATTATAATATATTCAATCATTGTGATCAAATGATAAAATATAATTAATTAATTTTTTATTTTTTAATTCTAAAAATATGAAAATAAAAAATAATTATTAATTAAGAAATTTCAATTGGTTAGTGGATATGATAGATCATCCACATAATTATAATATATTCAATTTTTGTGATCACATGATACAATATAATTAATTATTATTTATTTTTTAATTCTAAAAATATAAAAATAAAAAAAAAACTAAAAAAGAAATTTCAATTGCTCTATGGATATGATAGATAAATCCATAGATATAAAACATATTTAGTCTTTATAGGCAGAGAAAAATTACATTTTCAATTTTTTTATTAATTTATATTTTCCCCAAATATCTTCATGAAATTTTCATAAATTTATTAATAACACAAACAAAAAATATGATTTTGAATGTAAGAAATGTAGATCAACATAAATTTAAACATTTAAGAAAAAAAGAAATCACAAGATATTATAAAAATTTGAAAAAGGCAACCTATTTTTGCTATATTTTTTCAAATTTTGAAAAAAAAATCAAAAAATTTAACGATTCACACTTGTTTCTTGCAATTTTTTGCAAATCTAGCACTCTAGGAATGAGGTTTGGAGTTTTAGAGTCATTTGGGGGTTAAAGAAGGCTTATTTCAGGGAAAATAAGCTTGCTTTCTTCCCATTATTTTTTTTCAGTTTTTGGTCATATCTTTTTTGTCGATACGCTCCAATACACCCTCGATATGCCCCGACACGCCCCCAATAATGCCCTGATATGGGTCCGATACGCATGAAAAAAAGATGATACATCCGATTTCCATGCGTATCCTATATCTATTTTTCAAAGATACGATACAATAATGCCCCATATCGGGAATATCATGTCAAAATTTTAAACCTTGCCTAGGATGCCTACCCGGGCCCTCTAATTGTTGTTTCTTCTGCATATTCTACCACTAGAGTCCACATCTTAGCTCAAGGGTCCCATTGCATAAGGGATCAAGTTCACTTTTGATCTTCTTAAAACTCGTAGAAATTTCGTACAGATTTCCTACCTTTTCCTTTAAACCAAACACGGTCTATTGACTTTGTTTTTATAATCATGTTGATAAACTTTTTGTTTCAAATATATATGATTTGATATTATGTTTCATAAAGTATGCAATTATTTAATTAACCTTTTATTGTTTTATTTTTTATTTTCACTTGTGCAATAAATTTAAATCCATTTAAAATGTCATTCATAGGAGCAAGGTGCCAACCAACTAGTTGGTAAGGTCTCTTGCTGGTCGTAGTAGAGACTTCAAATCAAATCCCACCTACACATGGGTTAGGGGATGGGCTACCCCTCATTGTGTAGCCCTTCACAAGATATCAAAAAAAAAAAAAAAGGTGCGACTATAGGAGCTTTCAGCCACACTTATGAGATGTTACATAGGAAATTTGAGTAAGTGTGCAATTAGGGTGCAACTTGAGGCCGGATTGACTCAACCTAAAATTTTACATGGGTTGGGCTTGGATTTTTTGTCCTTGGGCAAGGTTTGGGCCTAAGACTTTAGGCTTTTTCTTATTTGTTGGGTTAGACTCGGGTGTAGCACTTAGGTAATTTGAATCCAGCCCAACTATATGCATTCATAAAAATAGATATATGTATTTACATATATACACACATATTTGCATAAATGCATACATATATGTGTAATTTTAGAGTAGGTCCATTTACTAACCCGAGCCCGGCCCTAGCCCAAGCCCAACTCGAGTGCATCAAATTACAATACGGGCTAAGCTTGAGTTAAGAAGATTGGACTTGACCTTAGGCTTAGGCCTTAGGCCTAAATCTTAGGGTTGGGCCTAAGTTGACCATAAACTTGACCCAACCCACCTGACTTGCACCCTTGCATGCAATACATCAGGGCTTTGTTTGTGTTACCGGTTTTTGTTCTCCACTATCACTAGATCCCATGCTAAATGAAATTACCTGATCCTCCTTTGACTTTGGATGGTCACATATCACTTCTTTGATATAATGTGTATAGTGTTTACCACGGTATAGAAAACTCTACCTTTCACTACGTGGAAGTTGACATAAGCAAGTCATAAAGTGGAAGGCATGCCAATTCAACATTACAAGGGATTATGGGGGTGGGGATTAGAAGTGGATTAGAGTCGAGTTGAGTAGAATATTTGGCTATTCGAGTTTGACTCACTAGCAAGCCATGAGGCTCGAGCACAGTCAAGCTAGAGAGTTGAGCTCGAGTTTGGCTCGACTCAAAAGCTCGTAAGCTCGAACTCGACTATGAGTCAAGCTTCTTATAAAATTAAAAATTTATAAACACAAACAAATTAGTTTTTTATTTTACATATAAAAATTAAGAATTATAAAAACTAGTTCTTATTATACATATAAAAACTTAAAAAATGTATATTTAGGTTCGAGCTCGGCTCGATTAGAAGCAAGCCTATATATTGGGTTTGATTTTGGCTCAAAGCTCAATTTAGATTGAACAGAATTTAGCTTTTTCACGAACCAAGCTTGAATAACTTGTGAAAGGCTTGATTCATTTCCACCCCTAGTAGGGATAGGGCAATTTGTAAGCACTTTAGATATACTACCTACAAACTACTCCCACATCCCTACTATGGAACACCATCATTGTTTATTGAGAACATTTCCCCATGATGACAAAAGAGATATTCCCAATGTACAATTGTAATGTTTTACGAGTAAGGATATAGGAACAACTTGTGGGTAACATATTCAAGACTGGGTGAAGGAGATGCTATGACTATATTCAGAGGGATGCTAAGTGTTCAACGCAGCTATTGGGTCATTGGAAAACATGATTTTGTTTTCAAAAATATATTTTTTTATTGATTAATAAAGCTTAAAAGTATAAATACATATAGTTTGACATGGGATTTCTACATATACTTGCATGGGGCCATGATGTGTGGCAATTAAAAATATTAACTATACTATATTTCAACTTTTTAGGATGACATGGATTTTAGTTTATTTTATAGCCAATTCAATTCACAAAAGTGGTTATTCTTTCAAACAGCTGGCATCTTATTTTTTTTTAAAGAAATAGCCTCTCAAAGGTGTTTACTCGTACTTTCAAACAAAATCTTCATTCTCATGGCACGTGTCTACATACTAAAAAAAAGCATAAACTTCAAATTTTAGTTACCTACACCCTTAAAAAAGGCTATTAGTAATTACTTCCATTAAAAATAAAAATAAAAACAAAAACAAAAACTCATTTCAAATAATGGGGGATTCATAAAAGTAGGTTATTATTTAGAAATGAAACTTGATTTAATTTCTTAAATCAAATAACAAATTTACATATAAAAAATATCAAAAAAAATAATAACCTAAATTTACAATATAAAAGATGTGTGTCAAACAAAATTTATGAGAATACATGAATAAAAAGGGGGAAAGCATAAGATATCAAAAAGACATGTTTTTATGAGGGTTAAATTTCCTTGATTATCAAAATTTACATTGATTTTTGATGGTTATTTACCTTTCATCCAAACGACTACGAAATTCGACTGAAGTGTAAAATTCCTTGGATACGGTATTTACACCTTAAACAAACACAAGGTTTTTGTTTCGAATCCCTTGAATGGGAATGTGGCCAATGTAGACTTGTTCATGGGTCGGGTAGCCTGATGGGCTGGCCCAACCCAACTCGTTCTAGGTCAGGATTGAACATGACTTTAGGCCTGTGGATTCGGGCCTAAAACACCAATCTGACATTTTTTTTGGGGCTGGGCTCAGGCTTTCTCAAAAAAGCTTGTCTTGAGCTCAAACCCGACTTAATAATATATTATATAATAAAACATATTTTATTTAATAAAATATATATATACTATATATTTTTTTCTTTTTTCCTCTTATCTTTTTTTTTTCAAATAATAGTGATTATTTATTATTTTTGGGTTTTGAGGACTTTTAATATAAATAAAACATTTTTATTGAATAAAAAAGAAAAAATTTTGTTTTCAAATTTATGGCTGGACTTGGACTCAGGCCCGTGCTTCAAACTTTATATGAGGACCGGGCTCGAACTCAAGACCTAGGCCCAATAGTCGGGCGATGCTCGGGCTTGGGCCTGCTTGTATTCGAGTCGGCCCGGCCTGTAAACTGGTATAATCGTCTAGACCAATGGCCCGCAATGGGAGGATGCCTGCATGTGAGCAAGCGTCTCGTGTTAGGAGACAGGTGTCATCAGATCATAATGTGGGGAGGGTTGTGGGTAGTGTCTCAACCACTTTGAGTAGCCTCGAAACAGTCTTCGGTGGACGTACTTACCTACTTGCTTACCCCCTTCAAACCCTTAAAACGCCATTAGTATTTTTCTCCATTGCAGGCGCTCGACAAATGTCCAGGTAGATGGGGGCGAAGCAGAGACCAAACAGGCGGAAATTGAAAAAACCGACACAATTTCATCGGGTTGTTACAGTAGTTTAAGACTTAGGGTTAAAGTTCCAACATTGCACTTCCTATTGCAATAAGAATCCGAATTTCAGGGTTACGGTTTGGGATTCTCGCTGGGATGTCTGATTACGATAGTCGATATGATGGTAATGGCGACGCCTATAGACCATCCGGTTCTTCTGCAGAGAACAAGTGGGCTGATCATGGAGGATCCTCTCCTTACGATGTATTCGATGATCCGGACTCGCTAAATAAGGTTGGTTTCGCCTGCCCTTTCATTTTCAATTTTATGTTTTCGTTTATTATTATTATTTTTTATTTTTCTTAATCATGCTTGTTTCTTGCTGCGAGTCAACAGAAAACTCAGCACTAGGTAGAGTAGCATCACGCAAATAATATAATACCTTACAATACTCCAGAACGAACAAGAATTGTAGAACAACATAGTTATTTCTATCTTGTATACTTCATTTGGTTGTATATTCAATTTCGTTGAATAAATACTATGTTGTTGACTCCGCAACCGCAAGATGATGAGTTTGGGTTGGGTCCAAGTACAAAGGGAAAATTCTCCATAAAACAACAACTAACTTCTGCACTATAACTCAAGTGAGGATCAAACTATAGTGATGCTAAGGAAGAAGATACGAGAAAAAAAATAATAATAACAGTAAAAGGTCAAGCCCAGCAAGAATTATCAATAGAACCTCTTCTATAATATCAGGATTTAATAAGGCACTGGGGTCTTCCATTATGAATAAAGAAAGGTAAAAGAAATAATTATTTTAATTTGATGGGAAGCCCCAAGGAGCATAAAGTCTGCTTCAGTCCTTGTGGTAGGAGCAGTATCTGCAGGGTGTTTGGATAGTCATTTACTTAGCATATTAGTTTGCATAAGAACAAGAAGTTTAGGTGCAACAAACATCAGTTTTTACTAGAGGCCTCGACAGCAATAGAAGAAGTCCTTTGGTTTTTTGTTTTTTGTTTTTTTTTTTTTAATTTCTTATACTTCCTAGAAATTCAACTCTAGTTATTTCTTCCTTCAGTTCCAAAATCCCTGTTTAACTCCCTTTAGCCGTCTTGGAAAGCTCTGGTTTCTTCATGAAATTCAACAACTCTTAATAACTTCTGCTGTTCTTTCCAGGTCACCCCATTTAACTGATTTCTTGAAAAATTAGTAAGTTTAGTTTACTCGAGGGGTGTCTTGTATCAAACTGGTAATTTTAATTGGTGCTTTAAGCCTAGAATCCAGCCATGCAATCTGATTTGGAGGATTCTTGCTTTACTCAGCTTGTCCTACTCCTTCATGTACTTGGGAGCACTGTACCTGTTCCAAGTCTCTCCATGTATTCCCCTTTCCTTTTGAAGTGCATTAATGAGTGCTGTTCTATTACTAATAATTGACTTGTGCCAACATAACGTGGTAATATGATAAGGCCCAGTCTAATATGAGCAGCTTGGCCCAGGTAGATAGATACCAGGGGAAGTTCCAACAGAAAACAAGTTAACAGCAAAGGAGCTCCAAACCTGATAGCAGGCCTGATGGGAGAAGGGCCTATGTTATAATTGTGATGAGAAATTTGCACCGGGTCATTGGTGCAAAGCCCAACAAGCTCACCTCTTACAAGTGGAGGAGCCGACAACAGAGTTGACCCAACTCACCCTAGAAGAGTTGGACAGACCACCAGAAGATAGAGAACCGGGATAGTATGAAATTTCCTTGCAAGCTCTAACAGGACTTCCTTTGCCCCAAACATGTGTGTTTTGGGCTCATTATGGGCTGGGAAATCTCTATACTGATTGATAGTGGGAGCACTTCAAATTTTATAACTGCTGACCTGGCCAAGAAACTGGGCCTAGCTGTTTTCAACCCACTACCCCATTCTCAGTTCATGTAGCAGATGGTAACCAGATTGCTTGTGACAGTATGTGTGGTCTCATTGGGTCAAGATTTAGGGGAATTTCTTTAAGGTGGATCTCTATCCATTGAAACTCTCAGGAGCTGACGTTGTGTTGGGGGTTCCTTGGCTAAGCCAATTGGGCACAGTGATGCATGACTAAGCCAACTTAACCATGGACTTCACCATTGGGAACCAGAAATGCCACCTAAAAGGCTTACCTACTAGCCAGTCCAACAACTCACTTCATGCCATGCTCAAATACTGCCAACATGAAGATGTTTCCACACTAATGCACCTAGGTCCTTGGGCCTTGGAACTAACTTTATGTCAAAACAAAGAGCCCATGCACTCCACTCCTGACCCGACCCAACTACTTTACAAGAGTATGACCACCAGGTCCACCGGATGTGTTTTCAGAACCCTCCAACCTTCCACCACACCAGGTCCATGACCACCAGATACCTATTACAATCTGGGGCACACCTGCTAATGTCTGCCCGTATAGATATTCGCCTTATCAATAGACTGAAATAGACAAAATGGTCCAAGACTTGTTGGATAAGGGTTTATACAACCCAGTAGAAGCCCCTAATCTTCTGCAATTTTGTTGGTGAAAAAGAAGGATGGATCTTAGATGTTCTGTGTTGACTATCGGGTGCTGAACTAGATTACTATCAAGGATAGATTTCTCATCCCTTTGATAGAAGAATTGTTTGATGAGTTGGGACAGGCCCATTTCTTCTCCAAACTAGACCTACAATCTGGGTATCATTAGATCCGAGTTTATGGGCCTGACATACACAAGACGACCTTTTGGACTGCAGATGGTCATTACGAGTTTGTGGTTATGCCATTCAGCTTAACCAATGCACCATCAACATCCCAAAGCCTAATGAATGATATTTTTTGTCTGTTCCTAAGGAAGTACATCCTGGGTTTCTTTGATGATATACTAGTGTACAACGCAAATTGGACCCTTCACATGGAACATTTGAGAAGCACTCTTGAACTACTACGATGCCATAAGTTGTTTGCCAAGCCCACTAAGTGTTCATTTGGCCAGACTCAAATTCAGTACCTGGGCCATATCATCTAGGCCGGAAGAGTGATGACAGATCCAGAGAAGGTTGAGTGCATGTTACAGTGACCCGGACCCACTACAATTAAAGGCCTAAGGGGGTTTTTAGGTCTTTCAGGTTATTACCAGAGGTTCATAAGGAGATATGGAGTGTTAGCTGAGCCCTTAACTCGCCTTCTCAAGAACAACAGTTTCACTTGGGATGACCAGGTTGAGAGAGCATTCCCTTATATGAAGGTAGTCATCACCTCACCTCCAATGCTAGTCCTTCCTGATTTTTACAAGGAACTCACTGTGGAGAGTGATGCTTTGGGCAAGGGCATTAGGGCTGCGCTAATGCAGCAAGGCCAGCCCATTTCTCTTCTTTAGTAAGGCCTTAACACACCAGGCCCAACAAAAATCTACTCATGAGAAGGAATTAATGGCCTTGGTGCTGGCCATTCAGAAGTGGAGGGCCTATTTAGTGGGTCAGCGTCTCATAGTCAAGATCGACCATCAGAATTTGAAATACCTCGTCAGTCAGCATGTTTTATGTCCAGACCAGCAGCATTGGGTCACCGAACTCTTGGGGCATGATTTTGTGATTGAATATAAGCCTGACATTCTAATCAAGCTGCAGATGCTCTATATAGAAAAGAAGAGCTGAAGAACTGTAGACAATGGCAATCTCTAAGCCAACTTATCTCTTATTTGAGCTGATTAGACAAGAGCCACAACAAGACCCAAAGCTGATGAGCATCAGGTCCAAGCTGGAAGTGGACCTAGCTTCAACACCGGGGAATGCAAGTGTGGGCCTTGACTTATTCTTTCATGTCCGAATGGTAGTGGCTCAACCCTTGGCCCATATACAACAGCTCATTGCATTATTTCATGATTTGGCTATAGGGGGGCATTCAAGCATTTTGAAAATATATAAGAGAATAGCTGCCCATTATTATTGGCCAGGAATGATGAAGGGAAGGGAGATCCATCATATGGATGGCCGAACCTTGTAGAGAGGTTGGGTGAAATTTCAAAATTTTCTCTCTCTTCTGGGAATCCTATTCCCTAATTTAGAAAACTACATTTTCAAGGTTTGTTCTTGAAACAAACTGGACCAAATTTGAAACCAAAAGGAAGCAAGTAGGGATGTACCTAATACAGAATAATAGTAACTCCCAACGTAGGTGTTCACATCTAAAGAAGTGACCAAAACCCGCATTCACTGAATATGACACAACTTATGGTGAGGCAGGATCAACAAAGTGGTTCTTCAGCAAGAACCCTAATTCTTCAGCAAGAATCACGCAAGGGGTTGGTGAGCACGATTTTAATTTGTTTCTTCTAGCAAGAAACAATATCAAGAACTATTCTTGATCAGATCCAATAGTGGAAATCGAACTGGGTAGGGGCGGCAAGAACTGGAGGAGAATTATGCAGATTGCTAAGTGCATAAACTGGTGAATTCGCCCCCTATTTATAGCCTTCTTTGGATCACCTTCCTAATCCAATTAGGAAAGAGTTTCTTGATCCAAATCTGATATTTGGATCTGGACTCTTAAATGGATAAGACTTATCTTATCCTTTAGCTAATCTTGATCAGATTATAAATAAGAATTCACCCCCTTTTAATTAACTCACTTAAGTCCAGTTCGAAATGGGCTTTAGGCCCATTTAGTCACATAGCTCACTTTCCCTTTAAATGCTGACTAGCTTGGCTCTCTTTGTATGGCGTGGGATCCTAGCATTGATCTACACATCAACCACATGGGTTCAACCTAGCCTTTGTTATAAGGCCTGACCGAATTCACTACTGAATACAGTGAACCCCTGAGTCCATCAGTATGTGCTCTTAATGGGCCCAACATTTATACTAAATGGTCATTGGGTCCAGCCACCTTATGAAGGCCCAAGGACTGTGGGTAGATGCAAGATTAGCCCATCAGGTATAACCCTCAATGGTCTTACACTTAACCTCTCAGCCCTTAATGATCAAACACTGCCCGACAAGAGAGGACCTCTCCCTCGGCTGCAAGGTACAGTGTTGCACTCTCTATTCACATGGATTCCGGGAATTAAAACATTTTGCAAACATTTTGTGAAACCATAATATATATGTATATCTCTATATAAATATATTTTGCAAAAACAAATCTCAACAATTTGAAATCAACTGCCGGCAATTTAGGTTTCCATTAGAGAAAGTGCATTCCTCGATCATTCACTTTGTCTGACAAGGGGGCTGATCCTGTCACTATGATCACCCACTCAGGTTAAGTCTCGGACTATCCCAACATG